GCCAAGTCCTTTCTGGCATACGAAATTTTTGTAAATGCTGGCATAAGCAGAAACAGGAAGTACCAGCAATTAGACAGTACGCGTTGCAAGCCTTTTTTCTCATTACTTCAGCAGCTAAAATACAATGACCTGAATTTCTTGAAAATTCAAAAAGTTGTAAAAGTGAATCTGTCATCTCAAACAAAGCACTTGCCATGCCGTACGCTGAAAAGTCGCGACTAATTCAGTCATATTCAGTTACAAGCGCTGGCTGTTCGCCTATTGTCACAAGAAACATAGAATACTTTGGAATCCAGGATGAGTGGCCTATCTGAAGAGAAAAATATTGTTCATTCTCATATTACAGAGTAGAATTTCAACAACTAGGACCTCCTCATGTACACCAGCTTATGTGACTGGAGGACGCACCCGTTTTAATGCTTGAGCGATAGATGTATGATCTCATAGACACTATTACTAGTTATGCATTTATTGTTAAAGATTCAGAGCAGCAAGGGTCACAAGAACCGTATCACCTTCAAGTCCTCCCTCAAAAGCATGGTCTGTACACATCGCAAGATAGTAGAACATTGTATTTTCACTTGGCATAACTGATTTCAATAAAAACATATTATTTCGAAAATGAAAGGCCTTTGCATAACTCACGAGCAAATTGAATTGCACAATACTGGTACAGGGTGCACTACACTTACCATCCACGAATATTTGCCGATATGAAAATGAGATCACAACAGAAAGATATTTCGTATGTAAATATTCCTCACATCCGATCATCTTGTCTGTTTCCAAAAATCGTTTCCCGCCAAAGAAATTTGTTACTTTTTTGGTGGGCCCGTACGCGAGATCTAGGCGCATATGAGCGATGACTTTAAAATGGGAGGGTGACAAACAGGTTGGAAATATGCCCCCAAAATTTTAGCTTTCCAGCCTTCCTAGTTGCTGAGTTGAAAGTGGGTGACAAAACTCACCTGCTTCCAAACACACACAGACGACCATTCGACAGTATGTGTATTTGCTCGCTGTAGAAACGCTACAGCGCTCTACAGCAAAAGCGCACAATAACCAAACTGGGTTTATCCATTACAAGTTATTTGATCAAAAATTAAATTTTGTCTCAAGACTCAGTGCAAAGTATCCATCACTGGAATGCAAACCTTCGATATCATCCGCTTAATTCTATGTATCTCGCTTTTTTTTCTAATATTTATGGGACTCTCTGCATATTTTTTACGCACATCTGGCTTGTTTCTCCATATTGCTCTCACCAAGCAAAAGGCCATGCATAACTGCTACAAAAACCAATCGAAAAATTCATAAAAGCACGGAAA